ACTCTTTATAAAGTGTTTGTTTGCTGTTCTAGTCAGAAAGTTAAGAGCTGATGCAGTTCAGAATAATTATTCAGGTGTGTTCATGTATTTCTACATATAGAACAACAATGTGCAATATCTGAATTTCTACATGAAGACAAATCTGTACAATAAACAATATCTAATGTATATTTCTTGTTTTTTTCTAATTTCCTGCTGACATCTCTGTAATATTATAATAACATCATGTTCTGTATGATCCCGTGTCCTGCTGTAGCGCTGCAGACCTTCTCACTGGATCATAAAGGCTCATCCATTACTCACCTCGTCTGCTGTTTTTCTGCTCTTTGCAGCTTTAATTCTGCGTTCAGCTTCAGTTCAGAAACATTCAACAGAAATAGTTCATGTTTGTGTTGTTTCTTATTTGAATATTAGTAAAGTCTTCAAAAAAAGACAAAGAAATAATTTATGTTGTAAAGACACAACAACCACCCTGGTGACCCGCACAGGACGGACATGGACCGTGTCCAACATGGTGCTGCCCACAAACACAGAACCAGAACCAGAACCAGAACCAGGCTACCTGGTGATGAAGAACTTGCCTGAACTGATCCATGGACCAGCTGTGGGATGAATCGGGTGCTGACAGGACTCATCCTCCAGCTTCAGGACGTCGGGCTCGTGTTCGGCTTCATGCAGGAAAATATGAACAAACACGTCAGGAGGCCGACAGACGGAGCAGAGCATCAAACTGCCTGCAGAGTCACCAAAAACCGACAAAACCCAGACGTATTCTTACCTTTCATTGACCTGCTCATCCTGAAAACAGCCAAAACTCACCATTATGTTCATCGTCAATTCATCTGTTGATTCCTGAACACAAGCTGACGAAGCAGCTGCACCAAGTCACGTCTGTCACACTGTCAGTACTCTACATCATCTGAACATATTCTGTCCTGCTTCTTGAGTATTTGCAGGTTTTATGGTGCTGAACAGAGACTTGATTGGTTCTGGTCCAAAACATTTCATTGAAGCTGCACACAACAAACAAACCTGCTGTTTGGAGTCAAAGTCCAAGACGTGGTTCTCAGACACTGAACAAAAAGCAAAAGAAGTCAGACTGCATGTGTTCTGAGCGATGTTGTGATGAGTCATGACTGTCTTCATTCTGAACCACGTGTGAAGACAGACTCTGACTTCTAGCCGTGTGCAGCAACACGGCGACGCTCTGATAACCAAACACTGACACACGTCTCGGCTCCTGAGATCTGAACTCTGATGTTACTGCAAACAACTGTTCACTCCGACTCGGACGTCTGGTTCAGTCCACAGATGCTCAGTTTACTGTCAGAAGAAAGAAATCAGAGAACATTCAGACTGAAGACGCTGCAGTCAGAGTTTGGACTGTTTTTATTAAAAACAACTACAGGTGATGAAGGTGATAACCGACCTGTTAGAGCTGCAGCTGTCACACTGATGACAGAAACAGTCTGAAGCTTTAAGCTAAAGGAGCTTATGTTGGAGAGAAGACACAATAAAAAGGCTCCTTTCAGGATTTTATATCGTGTATTTTGTGTCCAAAAGCAGCTGAAGCACATAAATGTTCTCCTTCTGTGGTCAACAGTCTCTCAGAGACACCAGCAGCCTCCATGAGTCCAGACCAGCTGCCCGGTTTCATCTGTTAGCGGTGTTTTCCGGTCCGGTTGAAGCGTTTGTACAGGAACTTGATTCCCTTCTCCAGGTTGTGTCTGTCCGCGGTCATCATTCTGTCTCCGACCATCTTCTTCTTCCTGATCAGACGCTGCAGCTCGTTGCCTTTGAAGGCCCTCAGCCAGCACGGACCGATGATCAGGTCTTTGGGATGAGCTTTAAAGTCTCCTGCAGACAGAAAGATCAGCATCAGATCAAACTTTATCCTGAAGGAAACTCAGAAAAACAAAATCACATGAGAATAAATGCAGAACCTGAAAGTACGAGTACAACACTGGACCCTGTATAGTGCACTATGTAGGGCTCAGCCTCTGTCATGTCTGAGATCAGACCAGCGTGTCATGTGACCGTACTTCATACATGTACTGGGTTCATGTGTGCTATTGATTTATCGGTAGCTGATTGATTGGGCTGCTGGAGGACATTATCCAGATTTGCATAACAACAAATGACACGGACGTTTCTGTTCAGATTTAAGAGTGAAGGTTTGGGAAGAAGTCGGATCAGAACTCAGCAGAGCTCCATCAGAATCAGGATGTGACTCACACACATGATTTATCTTTTCAGACTCTCCTGAGGATTTACTCAGCGAGTCTGTTCAAGTGTGACTCGGGAACGAGTCGGTCACAGAGAGACTCACCCAGGATGCCGACGTTGTCATAAACGCCAAACATGCTCCTCTTCTCCGTCCACCGGTCCACAGTCTTCAGCTGAGGGATGGCGTGCATCCGGATCCTGCAGCAGGTACCTGAAGGCAACACGGAGCAGCAGTCAGAATCAAGACAAACATCACATCCAGTTCTGCTCCGTCGCTGATCCGTGGATCTCCATACAAACAGGGACAGATGTTTCTGTCACAGATCAGCTGCTGGAGTCACTCATCAAACAGCTTCAGCCTTTAGACGTGAAGATCTGCTGCTTTCCCTGAATACTGGAGACATTCAGGTTCTCATCTGAATAAAATTAAACTTTGAAAATCATAACGGGCATTTAAAAATGAACAATGGATCATTTGAAGAGAACAGATTCCTCATTAATGAAAGCAGCCGTTAGCTGCAGACCAAACACTAACGTATGCGTGTACGTGAACAGCAGCCAGCGCTTCACTCCAACGCCGCCGCTGCTGCTGCCTCACTCATTTCTCAGTGTCTCTTCTGCTGCTGTGCTGAGCTTCACGTCGGAGAGAAACGGCGTCTCAGCCTCGTCTACATCCTGTTCATCAGCAGAACTGACAATAAAGCTGACCCTGAAGCGTCCTGATCCTCAGTAACTGACGCAGTTTTTAACAAACATGAGAGATGAAACAGCACAACGGTCTAATGACGGAGGCTGCAGGAGGAGCCAACACTAAATAATGTGGCTGATGCTGTGCTTCAGGTTTATTTAATTCCAGCAGACTGAAGCTTTGAGAGGCTGTTTCTGAGCTCATTGATCCTGAAACGGTTCCTCATCAGCGTCGGGACTGAACAGAAACACCTCAGACGTTTGGCAGAACACAAGCTTTCAGTCACACAGCAGGTTTGTTGTCAGTAGTCTGACAGAACCTCCTCCACTCTGGTTCCAGGTCCAGGGGCCTCATTTATCATCAGTGTGTACGCACATTCCTACACAAAGTATGGAATTTATCAACTTGTACTTATACTTAGGAATGTGTGTAAATATACACAAACCTCTGACCATGTGTACGCACATGATCTGGTGGTAGAACAGTGACACTACAAATAGAAAGTATTCAGGGATTCTGACCAGCGGCACATTCCAGCGTCAGGTTGGAGACATATGCAGCGTTTCCAGCATCACTGAGCAGGATCAAGCCGGCAGTGTTGGATGCCATA